TCCTTCTCTTGGTGGATGGTGCAGAGGATGACCTAGTTGACGCCGAGACATAACAGGGTTGAAATTGATTCCTCTTTTCGTACCCATGAGTAGAACATTTGGGAATTCGCCACAATTGAAAATGATTTCAATGCCAATATAGTCATTGTTGAACCACCTGATATCATGATAAGTGAGTTCCATAATTCTCTGAGATCACTTTAGAGTATTTTTGATGTCAACAAAAGGTCCTTTTTCAAGTAAGTGAGCCATGAACTATTTGTACAACAAAAGCATTCAATAGATAATAGTTTAACCTTTCCTAAACCTAGAATGAATGGTATAGTACGTGTCAACAAGATGAGTAGGTATTGGGTTTTTGATTATGAAAATGCTGACAGCTTCTGCATCAATGAAATCTTCTTGAGTGGGGAAGAAGACAATTCCATAAATTGTAAGAGCTAGTAAGGCGTTGAAGGCACCCCAATGTAATAATCGATTTTAAATTGAGAGTCGCCACCATTAATTTTTATCCTAAAGGAAGGGAATATAACGGATAACCCTAATTTGGATCAGAGATTCTAAGTTGTTGACTCATTTTAGACAAAGGGAAGGTGTTAGGAACCCCTCACCTACCTTGCTCACAAGGATACTAGGGTTTAGATTTACGATTTAGGAAATAGGGTTTTAATTTTAATTAGTTAACTTGCCACGATTTTTCAGTTGTATGCCTATGTATCCTCTTATGAGGAATCAAAGTCCCAATTTGTAGTTCGTAGTTGGTTAGTGTTTTTTATAGATTATGAAGCTATTCTGAATTTTCCTTGAACAAAGTCTGGGTTTGTAAATCGCGAAGTTGTTAGACGAAGTTTGCAGTTAATGAGAAATATCTCCATAATCCTTTTTGAAAATAATATGAGGTTTTAAATTATGTTAGTAAAAATTATTTTGGTTGGATATTTTTTAGATACATTAGTATATGAGGAAAGTCTTTTTAATGCATGTTAAAATGAATTTCAATGCAATTTAAAGATGAGTTAGAATTGTAAAAAGAAAAGATTTTGTATTAAAAAATAAAAAAAATGAACAATTTTAGAATTTATAAAAATAAATATATTAAAATTTAAAATATTAATAAATGATTAATAAAATAAATAAATGAAATATGAAAATAATATTAATTAAAAATGCAGGGGGTGAATTTTATTTACACTTAGTAATTCATGGGGGTGCATATAACAGGACCCTAAATCCAAATATTGGATTTAGGCCCAAATCACAAAGGAGGGTGCAGATTGATACTACGTAGCAAAATTGGGGGGTTGGTTCAGCAAGGGCCCGAGTTTAGATATTGAACTAGGCCCAATAGTACAGGGGGTAAGGTTTTTGTTAGCGAAGTAAATTGAGGATGCGTTCAGTAATGGGCTAACTTCAAAACAAATGTTTGATCCGCTAGACAGAATGTGGGAGGGTGCTGGGCACTATGGTGGATACATAATTTATAAATGTATGATGAAGATCCAAGGGTAGGGAGTGAGGGCGCACAGTAAGAGGGACACATGGAATTAGAGGGTATTATATAAACAGAACTCTGGGCTAAAGGCCCATTTTTCCTTTTCCCTCCCTCTCTCTACAACAAACGACCCCTTTTTTGTTTTCTAGAGAGAGAGGCTCTGCCTTCTCTCCAGAAATGCACAACAACGCAAGCATTACAACAACAAATTTTAAAACCCTAAGCTAAGTATTAGGCTTACCGTCTGATGCAATGAATCTTGTCGTATCCACTCATCTTCTGACTTTCTCTCCCTCAGTATAATCTTTTTCCTCTTCTCTGATTCTAGGTGTGAAGAACGGTGGCAATGTCGAAGATGATGGAGGCGCGACTTGAAGCACATATCTAGGATTTCGGAAATTGAAACCCATATCTCAAACAAGAGGGTTGGCTCGCGGATTGCTTCTTCCCTGTTATGACCCTCTCTCCAATTTCATCTCTTCCGATTTTTTTTATCCTCGTTCAATTAATTTTAGGTTTTATTTATAGGTTAGGATTTTAGGCATATTAGGAAGATATGTTTGATTTGTTGTTACAATGTTTTAGTTTAGAAATTAGAGATTTAGATTTGATTCCGCCTTAGGTGTTGTAATTGATTCTGTTTATAAACATTTGATTTTGTAATTTGGACGATTCTTCTTGTAATATAATTGATACAATCATATATTATTAGATATAATTTGATTTTAGTTTATGCTGATTTGATACAATTTCAATTTGCACAATATCTATTTTCTTGGTTTTTTTTTTGTTTTCTGTGCTGGATTGAAATTAGGGTTTTAAAGACCCTTGTTGACTTGGTCAACATTAATCAAAATAATAATAAAAGATATTAAAAATAATAATATTTGATAATGATACTAGAAACTGTTATTAAATTTAAAACTAAATAATAATCAGATTTTGACTTTAGTCAACCTTACAAAGGGCTAATGGGCCTCAAAATATCTTAATAGACCAGTCTGATTACAAATGATACAATAACCTCTTATTAAAACACACCCCTCTTATAAGACTTTAAACCTCATCCTTCTTATTATTTAACCGGGCCAAACAAAATTGTCTTAATGGGCCATCAGATTTTGATGGTCTATTTAAGACAATACACCCCCTATTGGTTTTAAACCCCTCGTAGGATAGTTTTCTAAAAAAAATTGAACAAAATGATTAAATATTTGGAAAAATAATAATGTGAATGTTAAAATTGATAGGACAAATTTATGGTATAACATCCAACTCTCATTATAATCAAAGACTAGCTTTTTCCCTCAAGAACTGCAAAGTGAAACCAAAAGTATCGTGCTGGTGCTCCCAATTATCTTTCACCTCTTTCAAACTCAGGTGAAGGGCTTCAACAATCAGGTGCAACTTCGGAGCTGCTTGACAAGTAGAAAAAGACATGTGTTTATTTATTTTGATTCCTAAAATGTTGGCGTATTCTTCTAAGGTGGGAGCAAGTTGATAGTTTATGAATTTGAAATATCTTAGAGGATCATCATAGAATTGTATAAGAGTCTGCATAGACATAGTGAAGCTACCAGTAAAAAACACAGAGCCGCCACCGAACTTTATTTATCCAGAAGGAAGGGGAAATATCAAGAAAACCACAAGAGGATGGATAAGATGGTCTTGCGACCAAGAGAAAGGGTAAGGAAGTCGATTATGCAAGGGGAAGGTATTAGCACCCCTTACATCTGTTGTACTCAACGGGATTCATTTTGATTATTTGCTTCTAAGGGTGTGTTTATCTATAACTATACTTGCTAAGGGGAAAAATGGTTTTTTTAGTGCATTCGTGAGGGTTTCGTAACCCTTTGCCTACGTATCTAGTGAAAGAATCAGAACACCATAGTTCTTCTAGAAAATGTTGTTTTGTTGGTGGTTTTTTAGTGGACGATGTTAACGCACGCATTCTAGCAATACGCACGGCCTGTATCGCGGTAGAACGGAGATAACATGCCCTTCGGGGGAAGTTTTGATTGGTTGAGTGTTTTTTTGCTAGTTTTAATGAGTTTGAATAGTGATTAAATGTTTTTTGGATTTTTGATTTGTGGATAGAATCTTTTAATTCAATTACAAAAGAAATTTTTTGAGGGGGTGACTATAAGAACCCTAATCATTGTTATGTCCAAGGTAGACCTAGTATCGAGTAGGAAAGGGAAATTTCTAACCTAATTAATTGTCATGCAAGTTGATCTTAAAGTCTAATCCAACACTAAAATGATCAAAGCAAAGTTTAATCATCTAATGGAGTTCCTAAGGAAATGTGTTATCAAGAATTAACCAAGCAATAAAAAAAAAACAAAAAATAACAGAAATATAACGCTAACTTTTTATGTGATTTTTATCAAGTAAGGAAATATAACCAATCAAAATAATTAAAGATGCTAACTAAAATAAAACAAATATTAAAATAAACAACATTACTAAGTTAAATTTAAAGTTAAACTAAAAATTATCTAATTAACCAAAAATGTTATTATTTGATTAAGTTTTAAAACAAAAACAAAAAAAAGAGTTAAGAAATTATGAAATAATAATAAAAATAAAAATAAAAAGAAAGACGGGTGGTGTTATGCAGAGCATGGGAGGTATATGTTTTTAGAAATCAGATTGGGCTTAAAAAACAGTAAAGGTTCAAATTTAAACAAAAAAAAGGACAACTTACAAAAATGGAGACTGGGCTGGACTGGGTCAACACAGGATCTACTCTCTTCCAAAAAAACCCACATCGGTTAAGACAAACCTTAAGAATCCCTAGAAACACAGCACATCATTTTGTTCATAGTGAAAAAAAAACTCAATTCCTCTCTCTTGTTTGTAGTTGCAATCACGATTCTCCTCCATTTGCCTCTTCGTCTTGCCGCTTTATCCCCTCCGTCTTCTCTCATCTCCGCCGTAATTCACGTTTTGAGTTCACCATTATCGTCTACATTCTCACCAATCGGGGAATTCCAGTAGCCCTTCAACGATGATGATGACAGAGACCAGAGGTTATTCTTTTTCTCTTTTTATATTTCTTCAAATTTGCGTCTTTTCTTGCAAGTTGTTATGGAGGCGTTACGATCAGAAGCATGGTGAATCCGATGATGAATCGTCAATGTTACTGTTTATTGTAGGGAACATGTTACTACATATATAATGTTGAGTGAAGGTTGGAGATGTGCAGAGATTCGAAGGCGATTCATGCATTGTGCTAAGGATCGCATGAGTTCGATTATGAATTCGTCATTGTTCACCCCGATGAGATCTTTCTGAGTCTTTCTTTTCTTCTTCTCTCTCGATCTGTAAAAACTGAAGGGTTGTGTTGTAACGTGGTAGGCTTGCAAGTTTCATTGTGGCTTTGCAAGGCAGGTTTTGAAAGTTTGTGAAGTTGGAGGAAAAGTTTGTGCAAATGGTGGAAGATAGTTTGGAGTAGAGAAATGAATGGATGCGGTAGGTTTGAGAAATAGTTCAATGACGGTGATGAATGAAGGATATAGCAATTGAGAGTTTATGGTGTAATGAAGTGGGGGATTTGAAGGAGGTTTGAAAAGATATTTGGGACTGGTTTTTCAAAGGTTTTGAAGTGTTTCCTTATCAGATTCTTGGTGTCATCCATACCTCCTTTGAACAAAGGGGATGGGGTATATATAGAGTGTAGGATCAAGTGAGTTTGGGGGGAAAAGTTATAAGGTTTTAAACAACTTAGCATACTGTTTCAATGCCTTTCGGATACAAGTTTCTTTTGTTTATTCTTGTGCAATTGTTGGACTGCTATGATGCATATTTTTACAAGTTTGGACAGGGTATTGGAGTGACATTGGCATGTCTTTGTAGGCTAGCAGTAATCGGTTTTGGGACATCAGTACCAGGTTATCTATGTAGGGGCTATTTTTGGCTATTTTGGAACATGAAATCAGACGGAAAGAGACAAGGCAGCAATGGCAAGTTTGACAGCATAATAACAGGGCACCAAGACTGTTTTATGACAAGTTTTTTGGAACAAATTTCAGTATGATATTATGCAGGTTTGACAGTATGAGGGCTGGTTTCTTGATATGGTTTTGGAGTGGAGTGGGCAAGTCTATGGACTGGTATGCAGCAGAATGGACATCAACAATCCCCCCCCCCCTTTTGGACTATTTATGTTTGGTTTTTATGCAGGGATGCTGTTCCAATTGGTTTGTAGGCATAGTTTTGGTAATGTAGTGATCATGGTTGATGCAAGACTTTGGGCCTGTTTTAAACAAGGTTCTTGAAGATTGGCATAAAGAACTTTGAAGATGAATATTGAAGATTTCAGAATTAGGTTTTGGATGGATTTTGGTGTGGGCTTTTATAGTGTACAATTTTTAGTTTCATTTGTAACATGGTGTATTTGGAAGTTGTTATAATTTGTATCAAGAAATGTCTTGAAACTAATGAAAACCTCAAATCCTGTTAGAAACTTGCATGATGATGTTGAATGGACCCTGAGTTTGTAAATCTCAATTTCTGAATAGTCCTCTTATGTGATCTTTCATTCTCAACTTGAATCAAAATCTTGCACAAAATGAATGTTTAACCGCTTGATGTCATTTGAATCAAATCCATTCAAATCTCTATGAACCAATTTCAATTTGACTTGTACCCCAAGGAACTTAGTTCTAATTTCACATGACAAACTTTAAATCTTTATTTTATAATTCTTCAAATTAATTTGCAAATTAAAGTCACCAGTATGTGATGAAAAAAAGTCGATTAAAATGAGTTGCAACTTATATTTCAATCCAACGTAATGAACAATTCCTTTGAAGAACTTATTATGAGTTGAATGTAGAAGTTATGAATATTATAAGTCAAAACATGACCTATGATAATTCAATAACCTTCAAGGTATTCTAAGCATAATTTATCCTTGGTCTTTTGAAGAAAAGTTATAGACGACATCATCTATGACAATATGCAAAAATAATTGTCCGAAAATGTCGAGAGTCAGAGAAGTTATGATCATTGGAAGTTGGGCACAATTATTTTGAAATTAAGTCAAATTTCCACAGGATGCCCCTAAAGTATTCAGACTTTTGATGATCCTTCGCTCATAATCAGGTCTTGACTGGTAAAGAGGAGTTGAAAATGACATCAAGGAGAGTTATATGCAAAGAACCATTTAAAAATATTGAATAATGAAGAAGTTATGATTGTTTGAACTTGATCTTGCAAAAAGTTGACTTTTGGTCGAAGTGCTTTGAACTGACGTGTAAATTTGATATTTCCTTACATTCCAAAGCATATTGATGCCCATGTGAACCAGTGATGATGAAGTCTTGACTAGGCTCTTGAGATTATAGGCCAAGCCTTCATGAAGTAGCCTCTGAGAATCTCGTTCTTCCTTGAGTTGAATCCAGGACTTCTGCAATTCTTCCAAGTCAATGGGCATGTCTGGATGAAGGATAGTGCGAGAAAAGTCTCCTTAAATAATAGGCTCCATGATTTCCGGTAGGACATCAAGATATGGCATCATCAGGTTTTGAGCACGAGCTCATACCCATTTGAGATAGGGCTCTAGAGGGATGGAATTATTCTGTCCTAAAGCTTTGCTATTAATCTTTCTCACCATGCCCTAAGCATGTATAAACCTTTGATGATAACCTTGAGGATCGTTCTCATAATCGAATACAATACCCTGGATAAGTGTGTCATGTGGACCATCTCTTTGAGCATAACCAAATTGGAAGAGATCTAGAGAAGGGTTCTACTTAATACCTCCCCTAATGCTAAGGAGTGGAACATTAGGGAATTCCCCACATAGGTCAATGATAGTGATATCCTCGTGAGATCGGGAATACTAATAAATGTCTGAATGAGAGAGTGATATTATTCTTTGAGACCACCTCAAACCTTGTTCATTCTTTATTATCAAGCGGGGAAGGTGCGAAATAAACCACCTGGATAGAAGAGGTATACAACACATTAGAGTTCCCCGCCTCTTCATAGTACGAGTGTGAAGAAAATGCAATATATCTCCAAGCAAGGTAGGCACATGATTACGAGCAAGAAATATTTTGATGGCATTCACATTTATAAGTTGGTCTGGATTAGGGAATATCACCAATCCATAGATTAAAAAAGCCAACATCTCCTCGAAATCCTAAAAACTTATAGCATCCAGAAACATTTGAGCCTTCTCTATAAATTTTTTAGCAAGAAAGCCCTTTACTCCGCTTCTCGTTTCCCAGTTGGATACAATGTCATACCTCTTCATATGTAAGGCTGCTGTAATATCTTCTAGTTTTGGATCTTCCTTTAAACTAGTGAAGGGTCTTTGATCAAGAACAGGAACTCCCAGTAGTTTAGAGAACTCTTCCATTGTAGGTACCAACTGATAATCTAGAAAGGTGAAACAATGATGTGTAGGGTCAAATAACTGGAATAGGACACTCATCATGTCTTCATCAAATCCTGGGGTAACCAAATTGAGTAGTCGACCATGCCTTTTGATGAATGGAGAACCTTCGGGAACCCTTGAGACTAACTCCTTAAGCTGAGGAGGAACCCTTACAAAGTTAATCTGGATAGTGTTTCTGCGAGCAGAGGCCATAACCTACAACAAAGAACAAATATAAATCCCTTGGTCCTTGAAATGGTTAGTGAAAATGATATGGTATGATGTCATAATGGTATGATGTCATGTTTGAATAACTAATCATACACAAAAAAAACACAAGGCCTTATGTTTAAGCTTTCATGGAGTTTGTAGGTAAGTACCCTCTTGAAGTTTTAGTTGGCTCAACCTGTCCTAAAAGAAGTAACTGGTTCTAGGAGCCTCAATATCACTGATCTTTCTCGCAGGCATTGTTTCAGCACAAGCATCTGATTTGCGACTGAAATATCCTGAGAGTCTGATCTCAATGAGTGTAGTATCGAGTATCGACCAACTTCAATTTGTACCAAAGTCGGCCATCTTACTACTTTCTAATAGCTAAGTTGTGTCAACTAAGGTTCAATGGTCAGTTAGTGCTTTATGACACCATGCAGAAGCCCATCATTATCCTTGACTTAACTCAATGGATAACGGCACCAACCAACGTGTCACACTAACGTAGCCATCGCTTTAACTTTATCGGTATACGCTGTACAATTTTCATGATCTATTGCTACTTACCTAAAATGCCCCAGATCTGGGTATAGGATCTTTACAAAAATAACCCTAGCAAAACCCCAAAATATAAAGCATACAAATCAAGAAAACAAAGCATTTTAAATGTGATCTAACTCTTAAGGTAACCCCACTTTTAGTTTTCCCCAGCAGAGTCTCCAGTTCTGTAATACGGTGGAAGAATTGACTTTTGGTTTTGCGTTTAATCGCAAATGTTGCGGATAGTAAGAGTCACCACCGACTTTTCTTTTATCCAATAAAGGAAAGGGTGAAAAGAACAGGAAATACCTTTGAGAAGGGAAGGTATTATCACCCTTTTCATCCGTAGTTATCTACGAACTCTTAATCACTAGCTCGCTTTTGAAAATGCTTGGTGAATGTGTAAGTTTGAAAATATTTTGAAAATGCCTAAGTTTGGCAACTTTGTAATGATTCTTGTATCAGTTGAGAACACATACAAAGTGTTTGTTTTGAAAATATTTCAGAAAAGTGTTTGTGTGAAAAGAGATGTTTTGTGAGCAAGCGATTAAAAGCTATCTACCTACTAAAAAGTCTTTTCTTCTTTTCCTCTTCATTTAGATAGTTCTATCCTACCATTAGTTAGTAGGAAGCCCTATCGTTGGATGTTTGAGGGACAAGTGTGGGTCATTGTACAGTCATAAAGCAACATATAGGGATACCTTTAGCAATTTGAAGGGACTATCATCACGTATTCGTAGGAAACATCGAGGGATAATATCATTTACTGAAGGCAACATCGAAGGGTCATCGAAAGACTATGATCTTTATGATGATTTTTAACCGAGGGTCTTTGCTAATGGTATCCCTAAGTTCGAGGGACATGACTGTATTTTCTGAAGGCAACAAGTGGAGTCACCCTAGAGGTGTGTCTGTGAAAATTATTTTTGATTTCAGTTAATGTTTATATTTGATTAGGGTTAGCTATTGTTTGCTTTTATTCTTTCCATACAAGCCTATTAGCATACATCTAACAGTTATAAGGAAAGTGGTAAAGACAGAAAATAGATTTCCTATGCTATTACAAAGCTTCAAAGAAGGGGGATACAAACTACAAAATTTAGGGGAAATAAAAAAACCTATTCAATCTATTACATCCTTTATCAGTTACATAATTATGATAAAATTAATGCGAAAATAAGAAAAAACGCGAAGATTGCAAGAAGAAACGGGGAGATTATTTGATGGAAATAATTGATGATTAATTGATTTTTTATTTTGAGAAAAGGGAATTAAAACCTAATAAAAACCTAAGTTATTTTTAATTGAAGAAAAGTTTAATAATGAAAGGAAATTAAGTTATATTAATTTAATTAATTTACTTTAAAAAAAGTTAACTTGATTTAATTAATATTAAAGAAAAAATAGTCAAGTTAATTTAATCAAAGAAACCCTAAATCTAAATTAGTTTTAATTAATTAATCAGAAAAAAAGTTAATTATATTTCTTTTAAAAAAGAATTGATGGGCTTGCAGAAGTAAACCCAGGGGGTGTAATAAAGAAAATCCACTAAGCCCAAACATGTTGGCCCAACTGCCTAAATGAGATCCAGTGCACCTCTTCCATCATAGTTTAACATGGACGTGAGATCTGAAATGCTGGATCTGGATTGGATGGTGATGATTGCGGAGGTGTACGAGGCAGCACTAGCTGATTCACACTAGATCTGTAAAAGAGAAAAGATAAAAAATAAAATACCAGGGGCAGGGATCGAACCTATGCCCTGGTATTTGAAAGCCTTAGTAACACACTCCCCTACCGCTAGGGCTACCCTTACATCTGGTAGTATAGTCAATAAAAAATGTATATAATACAAAATGAATGATGACATCAGACAAACAATAAAAACGCGTACGCCATTGTTTGAATGGACCAATCAGGGTTCCTTAAAGTACCACACATATTCACCCACCGGTCAAACCACCTTGGACGATGGTTCCGGTCATCACCTCCGGTGATGTGATAATCAAACCAGCACAATTCAAACAAAACAGAAAAGAAAATGATCCTATTTAACTAATTAAGGCCCTGTGAATCCCATGGCGTGGTTAGTTTGATCTAACAATTCCTGTATTGCAAGATCTGATGCTTCAAAAGCTTTGT